TTTTTTTTTTTTTTTTTTCATGTGTTTTATACGCGATTATTATTGAATATACTTCTTCGACGACGCGGCTCTTTCTTTCTCTTACTTTTTTTTTCGCTCTGGATCATCGCTACGGGCAGTGCCATTATTTACATAATATGTCGTAGAAACGCGGAGCCTGGCATGTACGTATTTCAGGAATCGATCTAACAAACTTTTAACTAGATAACGAGAGATTTTTTTTATCTAGGGCCGTACACGTCTAACACCGAGAGAACTATCTGATATGAGTTTTTAATCGCTTTTAATGTTTTTTTTTTTTTTTTATCATTCACACACTTTCACCGATTTTCTTTCACACGCACATTCATCCCTGGAACGAGAAGGATAACATTCACAATGAAATCACAAAAGGACACGCGATCGACACTCGCATTTTTCTTACTGTATCTTTCGTACCTCTCGCGGAAAGTTATCTTTTTTGTCTTATTATCTAAGTATATATATATTTATATATATAATATATCTCTCTCTTAGGAACAGTTCCCATCGAAAACGTTTTACGTCGACGAGGCGTCGTTAAGAAAAACAAAAAGAAAGTAGGAGAAAAACTATTTGCTAGATAAAATGGAACGCAAAATCGTGAAGAAAGACCGTCGCGTCGTCCGCGAAAGCTTCAGTCTTGGACGAGGACGAGAGAAAACGGAAATTCGATTCTTGTTGCGCCTCGGTTTTGACTGCGGAACGATTTTCGGAGGATCAATACTCAATGTCGATCCCGCGAAAACCGAGCGCAGCTCGTTCGCTATATGACGGCAATAAATATAATCAACGAACAAAGCGCGCTGAAGATGACAAATGTCGATATAGATGCGAAGCAACCGTCGAAGGTAAAGGAAAATTTTCATAAGTAGGAGGAACTGTGTCTTTTCAGCATTATTTCAAGGGTTTGTCAATTGTCAATCGTCACATTTTTGTGTTGAATTATTTTTTCTCATGAACGAAATGTTGCTGTAACTTATCTGATTGAACGACTCCTTCGACGGATGCGTCGCACGACGCATCCATCAGCGGCCATAAACCTAAACAACTTTGGTATTTTCTTAACCTTTAAAAACATATGCGATAATAATTTAATAGCGAAATAAAATAATGAAAGCGGCGCCTATAAACTCACTGCAACCGTAATGATAATGACAAACGTAATAATAATATATATAAGATGCTAATAATAATAGAGCAATAATAATAATAGTATAATAATGACAATAATAATAATTATATTACAAAACAATAATAATATTAATAATAATAATAAAGGCAATATGTAATAAGAGCAATAATAATATTAATAAAGATAATTGTGTGTGTGAGTCGCGCTGGTGATTATAATACATTATACATAGGATCCAGCTAGAGCTTTTAAATACATACACATATTAGCTCCTTTATTATATATTACCTCTTAAATCAATTATGCTCAGTATTTTCTAGGAATTGATATATGTAACAGGGTTTTTTCGAATATCGATGTTTGTAATTATGTACATACAGAATCGTCATTTCTATTTTCCTTGCGCTTTTTAAGGAAAATCGATGCATTTAAAAAAAAAACGACACGTCGATTTTCCAATCGACACAATCTCACGAAGCGACGTCGTGTTAATGTACAAAATGACTTCGCTTCGAGATTTTCTAAATAGTTGCATATACACGGCGAGAGTTTTGTAAATTTTTCATTAATATTTATACATATATAATTACGTTACACAGTGTGTATATGTGTGCGTGTGCGTGTATGTGTATGTGTATGTGTATATATCTATATTATTAAATAAATAATCTTCAAATGCGATAATAAAGTTACGAACCGTGTTCGATTATCTTATTTATAATATTTATATTCTTCATATTTTTGTCTTTATATTTATATATGTATATATATATTTATATATTTATTTATTTATATCTTTATGTATATATATGCAGCTTTATATTTATAATGTCTTTTCTCGTTATTTATAACTATTTATAGCGATATATATTTTAAATAGCTGTGCTGAGACTCGTAAACTGGTAACCATTCGTTCGTTTTCTAGTGAATTAAAGTCGCGCAGAGTGCGATTTCTTATCGAGTATCTTCTCTTTGTATACGCAATTTCCTTAATTTTGTATCACCTGTTCTTTTTTTATGTATTGTTCGTGCAGTTCTCGCGCGAGCGAGATTCCGTCACATATTTCGTTGCTTCTTGTGATTCATCAAATGTTTACACGGCCATTTCCAGGCCGTTGAAACGGACATTCTCGAGATCACGCATCGACCTACCACCTCTCCTAATCCCGAGAGGTGACCTCGGACATTTCGCGTCGAGAGAGATTCTTTATATGTTGTAAATGTCGAGATTGACTCGACTTTGCGCAACTCGGAGTTGTTCATCGTGTGTCTCTCTTTCTCTCGAAGTCCCTGAGGAAGAAAATCTCCACCTTCAGTATACCGGATAAGGCGGCCTGTGCGGCCATAGCGGCGGGATTGGCGGTAGGCTTCCGTTCCAGGATCAAGTATCCTTGCTACTGAGCGAAGAGTCCTCATCTTTGATCACCGGATACGGTATGTCGAGTTTAGGACCTTGCTGCACCACCACCACGCACTTCCTCATGTGTTTCTCCAGCGTGCTAGGCACCGAAAACGGCATATCGCAAAAGCGACACTTATACGTATCCTTGCCGTGACGACCATGAGTTTTCATGTGCCTGGTAAGTTTCGAGCTCTGAGCGCAAGCGTACGAGCAAAGTTCGCACTTGTACGGCTTCTCGCCTGTATGCGACCGTCTGTGAACCGTCAAATTCGAACAGTTTTTAAATACTTTACCGCAGTACTCACAAGTATCGTTCCGACCACTTCGTTCCTTCTTCAGCAACGGACTCGGCAGACCCTGAAGCGCTAAGGTAGATGTTGTGGCCTTGGATGCTTTACGAAACTCGTTATTTTCTAAATAATGCGGACTGTGTAGCCAGAGACTTCCAAAATCCGGCCCCGATGATCTGGGAAATCCTTGACCGGAAAAAATGTTCGGTGTTGTTGAAGAATTAAAATTTGTAGGCGACAAAGCGCTTTCCTTTTCTTTGTTATTATTCAGAGAGTTGGCAAGGTTGCACGGCGATTCGGTTTTGAGAAAACCACTACGATGATTCTCTTGAAGAGCCTGTCGATATGCTTCTGAATACTGAGCGATGTTGCTCAAGCCAAATTTTTCCATTAGGTCTCCCACCAGACTGGCTGGTTTATCCACTCGTCCTCCGCTCTCTTCGCTACTCTGTCCTTGAGTAGTACTCAAATCTTCCGGTGTGTTCTCTTCCGTATCTTCTCGCTCGGTCTTCGGCTCATTCTCCTCCATTTCATCTAGATCCATGTTCTCATCACAACTAGACCCATCATCCGGCACTGTCTCGACGCTGCCTTGAGGACTAGCAGCTGAATTTATGTGCTCCTGATGCTCCTTCCTCATGTGCTTTCTCAGTTCTGTGTAACTTGCCAACTCGACGTCGCACACTTCGCACCTCGTTGGCGTACTCTGGCTGTCTTGCGTATTTTCTTGCTGCTGATATCTCTCCTTGTCTCGATGACTGCGGCGATGAACGATCAGGTTCGATTGGAAACGAAATTTTTTATCGCAGACCTCGCACGTATATACTGTTTCTGACGATGCATCGGTGATTATTGGCGTGGATGCTACAGGCGGACTAGTTTTCTCACTATCCGTTGAGTTGTTATTGTTATGATGACCTACTGGGCTTTGACTGTAACAAGGTGGCGAGGTTTCTTTCTGGTGACCCACGCTGTGGGTCAGATTTGTGGGATTGGCCGAGGCCGGACTAGGCGGTTCCACTGATTGAGGATGAGACTGCGGTTGTGGCGGTTGGGATTGTTGTTGCTGTTGCTGCTGCTGCTGCTGAACACTGCTGGCGACTGGAACCGGTGGTACCGGAGGTACTGGTGGGGGAGGAGGATTTGTCGTAGGGTTACCGCTAGGTGTAGATGGAGCCGCGCCTAAGGACGGATTAGCGAGGCTCCTTAGGCGCGCTGAGTAAAAATCCAGGTTCGCTTCGAGTGGAGGTGGGTGTGCTTGACCGGCAAGACCGCGACCATGCGACAACTCTGCCAAATTTGCTAAGTTTCGGGCATTGTTTAGAGAGTCCAATGAACTGCGTACCAACGGGTCACCCAGATTCAAGCCGTCTATACCGCGAAGCGGATCGCCCAGGTTCTGCAGATTTCGCGTGGCTGTCTGCAACTCCTGGAGACCTCTGTATCCTGCTAAAGGATTCAATGTGAGAAAATCTGGCCTGAACATAGGTGGAAAATTTCGATCCAAAGGCTGGGGCAGTCTCAAGAAATTATGGAGAGGTTCGCCCATCAAAGATGCCGAGCTTTGAAGCTGTTGTCGTCCACTGCTACTTCCGCTTGTGTTTGTGCCGCCGGACGAATTCGCCGCTGAAGAACTTCCGGTGGACTTGCCGCTCAAGTTCAAGTGATTTGGCGGGCTGAGATGGTGCGCGTGCGTCGGTGTAGGCGTCGGTGGACTCGGCGCCGGAGTATTTGACGACGAGTTCGTCGACGAGGAGGAGGAGCAATAGAGGCGGGCGCCGTGCATGCTCTGTACATGCTGAACCAGCTCCCACGCCGAGCAGAGCCGCCGGGAACACTGTGAGCATTGCAGCCACCTTGGCTCTGAAACAGATACATGCACATTGTGGTGGTTAAGAATCACAGTTGCTAAATCGAAGAATTGCACTCTAGAGGAATTCCCTTTCGCACAGCAAAAAAGAAATCTAAATATATAAGTTGTAATTGTAATTGTTTCTCACCGGGAAAAGGAGTTAGTTTATAGATATACACAACACTGTTTTATTAGAAGATTATTGTAAAAAAAGCGAGAGGAAATCGACAAAGCTGCGGATATAATTCAATAAATTACAGCCGCGAATAAAATGATTACAAGACTCCGGATATATCGTAATAATCTGACGATAGGATTCGATACTTCACGGTGATTTCACGACGTATGTAGCGGCGGGTCGTAAAACGCGCACATGCACACGTAACATGTGCGCGTACATGCCTCCGAGGCAACACTATCAATTTCCGAACCACCCTTAATTTCGCGGAATCGGGACAAAGATCGGCCCCGGCCGATTGAATTCGGAATTCAAACGGCGCGTTTGTGTCAAATTGCGGTTCGGCTCGGCGAGTGTGTTGCGGGGGCTTAAAAATAATATCCTAGTCGAACTACGGCCAAGACAGAGGGTGCGGGAGAGGCTGGCGGGGGTCGGTTACCACGGCATGCGGCTGAAACTGACCCTTAACGACTTCCCGACCCTCCTTCCCTATAGCGCGCGCGAGAGCTTATGACGCGGGAGGGACGGGTTTTGAATTTCAATGTTTTTAATCCGGAATATCAGATTTTCGGCCATTTTTCACACCCCACGTAGCACAGTGGATGTCCGCTTCGCATAAGTTTGGGGCGAGTCTGTGGATTTTATTAATTCGACGTAGCACCATCGGCGAGAATGAGAGAAGACTATCATAAAGAAAAAACAACCCCAACGGAAGGACGGAGGATGCACGTACCGTGTGCTTAAGAGCGACCCTTACTTTGCGAGTGAAAGCATCGCAAAGCATATTCCCGCCAGATCTTAACGCCGGACACGGGTTCGAGAAGGGAGATTTTTTTTTAAATTTACGTCTTAAGAGATAAGCTAAATCGCTTGAGACACATCAATTAATCATTTTTCCATCTAAAGTTATTTTTATATGAAATAAATTCTTTCATATGAAAGTTTTATAAAAAAATATAAATATATTGATATATATTGATTGATTTATAAAAAAATATAAATATTGATTGAGATTTATAAAAAAATATAAATATAAATATTGTTTAAATCGACAATCTATCTCAAATTAAAAAAACATTGTGGCTATGAGAACGCACGCCCATGGATTTCTTTCTCTTTCAATTCGACAAGTTTGCGGACTAGACGAATTCGAGAACCCAAGCGACTCGCACAGGACAAATAAATACCTTTGCACAGCGTTGTTCAGGAAGAAACTTCTTAGACGAGATAAATATGAGCGCGTTGTAGAGGGGTGTTTCTTCTTGTAAGAGATTAAAAAGTTCAGGACTGTGGTCCCTTCCTCCCCCTCGTACCTCACTGTCTCGCGGTACTTGGACGACAGGAAGGAAAGTCAGTGAGAGACAAAAGGCTGCAGCAAAATAAAGTGGTCCTAATTAAATGGCCGTTCGGGATAGGGAGAGATCTTTGTTAGGAACACAGCTTCAAGATCGTCTTAAAGCCGAACAATCGCCGGATTGGGACACAAGTTTTTTGCATTATGTTCTTCCAAATTCTTAGGATTTATTTCTTAGAGAAAACTGTTTCCATTTGTTGCATTTAAACAGATACCTTTCATCGCTAAGATATTCGTACTTTTGTCTCTACAGTTGTTTTCTTGCTTTTTTCGTACATATACTCATATAACACGTAACGTTGACAAGAAATTAGTCACAGAGCAATTCATGGAACCGCTCAACTTTGAGAGATCGTCTGATGACGGCGAACAGGATGTGAAAACAATGAATCTTAAATAAAATTAGGAACAACACTCGACACTGTCAACGAATAAATGATAGTTTATCTCACGACAATACACAATAGAACACATTTTGTTGTATGTAACAAGGTGCTAAGTAGAATAACGAGCCCGAGGTGGGCGAGGGACTTTTCTTTCTCGCTATGCTGACCTTTCACCAGGATTACGCTCGCAGCGTTTACGCGTCGCACGGAATAAGAGACGATCGTTGCAATTTCATCTCATTGACGCACGCGATTTTTCAATTGTCGGAAAGATCGAGGAGAAAGTCGTAAAGGAACAGAATACCGCAGAGGAAGAAACAGGAAACTCTTGACAATACGAACTGCCGAGAATTTCGCTCAAAAAAAAAAAATATATAAAAAATAAAAAGTATATATTATATATATATATATATATATATATTCTATATTCTATATTTATATTTTTTATAAATTATCTCTTGATAATATCTCTAGACAAACAATGTTTTGAAAATGTTGATGGTTTATAAATATAAAAAACTATTTCCTTATTATATATTATAAATTTTATATTTTATATTTATTTAAACTGGTTGCTGCTGTAAAAATTGTGAAAATTAAGTCAAATCGTAATAGGATTTCTGTAAAAACTTTAACGAGCTCGAGTCGGTCAAGTTACCAAACTTTGAAATTTTCCAAGTCATCTTCAGGCCTGATCTTTCTTAACGAAACGAGTGTGAGGTACAAATTAGAGATTTTCGGCTTCGGATAGTAAATTAAAAGTGAGAGAAGAAAAAAGGAGCAAAGAATAGAGAGAAAGAGAGAGAGAGAGAAAGAAACTATAGTCAAGTCATCCCTGGAATAAAGGCACCACAGATAGAGCGCGAAAATTCGTATTGTTTCACGCTTTGGGTGTTCGAGCATGCTGTTTTTCCCTTCACTCTCATCTTTTGTTGAAGTGATCGGCTGTTTCTTTTCCCGAAAGTCAAAAATATTGCCGACTTCCCCGGGGAAGAGAGATGCCAGCGGTGCGAGCGATAAGCAAGTGCTCAAGCATAATAAAGGTGTATCAGTTCACCCGCGCGCTTTTCATATGCAAACTTCTCGGATGGCTATCCGTTAGGATTATTTCTTCAGATTTCCCTAGGCCTTGTCTGAGGAAAATGATGGTTGTGGCTAGCTAACTTAGAAAATAGTACTAATAAATAAAAGTACTAATACTTTTTATATACGTTAGTATTTTTATTTATTTATTAATATGTTATTATTTATAATTATCTTTTAGTATAAAAATAAAATTCAATATTTGTCAGATTTGAGTTTGCAAATTAGAATTTGTTGTTAAAGATTTATATTTCAAAAACAAAGAAAATGTTGAAAAAAGTAGGAAAAAAGTTTGAAAATCGACAAAACGAGCAGTAGAATTGAATAAACGATGAGTCTGCACATGAAACACGACATCATCTCCGATGATAGTGACCGAACGATTTTCTTCAGAAATTGCCCGACAAATTGACCTATGCGACGTTTACGGGCAAATCGTTCGGAACGCCATTGTTTAACAACGACTCGTGCCCTGGTCATCGCACAAATACTTCCTTTCAACCCTTTTACGGAAGACTTAACACGAATCCGCCCCTCTAGCATCGATGCAGTCGTCGAAATATACGTTTCCGTAAGATGTTCAAGTTTGTTTTTCCGAGACAAATATTTCAGTAAATAAAAAACTTTTTTCACAATAGTTACAGGCCATAAGCAATTAAGTAAGTTTTGTAAAATTATTATTTATTATTAATTATAATCAAATATCACAATAAAAAATATTTAGAAATTATATATTTAATTTAAAAGTATTTTAATAAACTTGATTTACTTTTTGATTAGAGAAAACATAATTGTTGCAGAAAAAAATAAAAGAAGTAATAAAAGAATAGCTTTAATTACATTTAGAATATTTGCAATTACATATATAGCCATAAATAATATATGTTTGGTGTACAAGCGAATTTTAATCGCGTACGCGATGTTGTGCCACGCTCTCGAAAATCTTTTTGGACGCGACACATCTGCCGCCCAATGACGTCATAACGTACACACACATATACACACACATCCACACACACAAAGGCCTTTAATCCAGAATGGCGTGTGACAATATTAAAATATCGATTAGCCAATGTATGCGACGTATGCACTTTGTTGTTGGCACAAGGGCCGCACTTAAAAGGGATAACGCGCAGCGGATCATGTCCAGGTGGGTAGTTTGCGGGTGATTTTAATCATTTTACTGGACCTATTAATTAAATAACTAGCTGAGATAAATGTTACTCAGTAACGAAAAGTGTTCAATGCTCATCGAAACTGATTAATTGAAGAACAAAAAGGTTTGTATTAATTAATATAAAAAATAATCAGTGAAAAAATATATATTGTATAAAAATAAATAAATAAATGTATAAAATACATTGCTCGTATTGAAGCAAAATGGGAATATTAGGAGTCTGTATTTGTGTTTCAAGATAGCTACCGAAAGTTATTGTTGTCTTTAATATTTCTTCTGTTTTGTTATAATATTTTATTTGTCGGTTAGGCTTAAGAACAGCTGCTGCCTTGTCTTTTAAATCGCTTCCGTTATGATGCTTTCTTTTGTGTTATAAAATTGTGTGATTAATTGTGTTTTAATATAAAAGTTATTATTATTATATTAATATTATTATTATTATCATAAAATAAGTTATTTACCTTAATTGAAATAATTCTTTATATCGTTAATTTTTTTTATAAGTACGTATATGATATACATATTACACAGTTGTAAATCTTCTTTTAATTGTATCCAGTATTATTAAAATATTCGGTCTATATATTGTGTATATAGTAGTGCGCCCCTTTTTTTCCAGTAAAGTTTTTATTTACGATACGTTGAACCTACCGCAAAGTGTCGCACGGCAAAGAGCCAAAGCCATTAAAATCGCGAATATAACGACCGGCGTGATTCTGTCCCCTCTAAACGAATATTCGAATGGTAGCATAATACACTCCTTGTGGTCACTAGAATCCCGCGAAAGGATTGGTCAGACTGTGCTTCGCGTTATTCTTTATGTCTTGCGTTACTCAGTTTGTCCGTTCAAACCGCAGACTTTGCGAATCGACCAACACTATTAATCCTTTTCAAGGACCGAGTCTTCTTCATTTAACAAAAAGAAGGATCTAAATTTTGTTCGAGTCGCTGAAATACCACTAAACTTTTACACCACAGAACAAACGGTATTGAGAAAATATATATTTTATACGAAGTTATATTTTTACATGTTGTAAATAAGATCAAATGTGTGAGTGTACACACGCACCTAGAGATCTGAAAGAAAGAGTTGGAGAACTGGATGACAAGAGAGGAAAATACCGAAACGCGCTACGATAAGTTTGCAATAACAGGACTGAAGGTTTCGAAGAAGTCTAGAATTGTCTATTCTTCATCACAACCTGCTTTTACAGCTTCGTTTTTCTTGTAGCGCTACACTATTGAGAGAAAGAGAGAAAAAACGACGAACGACGAACTCGTCTTACATTGTAAGGCGACGACGTAAGGGAAAAAAAATTAATCAAGAAGCCACTCGACCTGGTAATTTAAATGCATCACAGCGTATTGAAGTCGTATATATTGAACTTCTGCTTTGTAAGCTTTGATGACGTTCTCTCTCTGTCCCTCTCTCTCTCTCTCTCTCTCTCTCTCTCTCTCTCTCTCTCTCTCTCTCTCTCTCTATCCTTTTCTACAAGACGCATGAGATAAGCGCAAAGGAAACGAAGAACGCAGCCACCTTGTCATTGTCGAGAAAGAACTGAAGTAAAATATGAACCGAATGGCTGTCGAAACGGAAGCAAACTCCTCAAAGGATCCGTCATATGAAGATATTCAAGTTGACATTTATATTAGCGTTCTTCTCACTCAATTTTGTCATATTAACAAGTTCATTGTAATAAATAACAGACGTGCGCGGCACATATGTGTGCGCGTAAATACAAAACGATATTATTGATTAAATGATTTAAGTAATCAAAGAGAATAATGCAACTTCTCATGAAAAAACGATAAATTATAAAATACAAGCAGGCACGTTTCCGCGCAAAATGTACGACCGAAAAACCGTTCGACGGTTTATTTTTTTTTCTCAGTGTATCGCGTACATGCCGTTTTTGTCGACTTCCTTCCTTCCGCGAAAATGGAGGAAACGGCAAGAGGAAGGACGAAAAAGCTGCAGCGAGAGAACCCCGAAACCTCGAGCGACAGCCAATTCGCAAGCAATTCTCCGCTCACCTCGGGCGGTCCGGGAAGTCGTCGACTTTACTAGGAAGGAAAGAACGGTGAGGGCGAGACGCGCGGGTCGGAAAGGAGCCATAAAGCTGCCAGAGAAAAACCTCGCCCGCGAAAACGAGAATTAATATTCCCAGACAAACGTGACAGATAGATCAAATCTGCATCTCACCGGGAGCGCTGCTTGGTGTCAATTTCGACGGATTATCGCCCCTTTCCTCCTACCCTTCCTCCTTTTATCTTTTCTTTCCCCGGACGTACATCGCCCTTCGCTATTCATTTTCTTGCACAAAAATATGCTTCGCTCGTTCTCTATTTTTATGCATAACCGGATTTTCTTTACATCATAGAGTTTTGGCGATAGTTTGCTGCGTTGAAACTTGAGCAAACGTAAAAAAAAATATTTCATGTTTTTTTTTTTTTTTTAGAAACGAGGGGTGGGAGAGAGGGTAAAAAAATATTTCTCCATCAAGTTTTGGAAAATGCGCCGAACGTTTTTTTTAACGTTTTCTAGTCGGACGACAAAAAAAAACACATCCTAGAAATCACGAAGGGAAACACGCTTCTGGCCGTAGCATCGGAGGGTCCTGGCACATCCTGTTAGTGCCACCCCACGTTCGTGTTTCTGATACGCTCTTGCTTTACCTGTTCGCATGCAACGCGCTCGAGAACCGAGCGTGAAGCATACACCGCTCACCGTCCGCCCATATGGACGTTCTCCGTGTGGACGGCTCGTGCGGACCACGTGGCCGAACAATAGGACGATTCTAATTGGGCTTTTCGACGTGGTTGTCCGGCAACAAAAAATCTGACAAAAAAAGCGACAAAAGGGGCTTAAGCGGGGAATATATCCCTGGACGCGAACGGCAGGATGAGCACGAGCGAGCCGAGTAATTCTTATAGCGATCGCACCGGACCAGTTCGGAAAGGGTTAACTCTCTCTCGCGTGTTGCTCGCGAGAAGGGGATTCACAGAACGAGCGCCACGGAGCGTGATGAAACTTTAAAGAGACACTGGCGCGCGAGCGATCGAATATGTCGCGCTGCTCCTCGAGAAACACAATTACGTTCATCCACCATCACTTTCCGAAAATACGATACTTACAAATTCTAGGAATTTTACGGTACCGCATCATATCGTTCATCTTTATTTTAGATGTTTCTGAATTCTATAGAGCGCGAAGTAAAATTATTTTTCAGCAACTTGGACTTCTCAAGTGGAGTTTTAATGATCGAGAATCGCGCGATGATAAAAATAATTTAATTGCGAGAGAAAATAGAAGAAAACTCACAGTGATTGACATCAGGGACGAAACCCGTTCTGTGTTGCAAAGCAGGTTCTTGCGTCAATTTGAACGATTAAGCACTGCATAAGAGAGGAATCTCTCAGGAAATGCATTCATCGAGAACGTAAATTTCGTTTTAGACCCGCCTTGGACTCTCTCTTTGAAGTTAATTAAAGTAAATCTCAATATCGGTTTCTCTCTCAATCGCAAAAGTACTTTTAAACTATTCAAAAAAAAAAAAAAAAAATTTTCCTCCGATGATAAATATTTCACTTGATAGGACATTTGTTAAAATAATAGTTTAGAATAATTCTCTTGCGAACTATGCAAAAAAAAAGGCAAAAACAGTTTGTTTCATTATTCAACTCGATTGCACAAAGAAATCGAACGCGAAGACAACGTATATTTTCCGTGTATCGAGCGCATATTATGTCGCTGAACGATACTCGCGCGTTAAACCTTTCGACGTACGACAATGTATTCCCGACGAAAGGGGGTCATACGAACAACGAGAGGGGGGCAGGTTCACCCCAATCCCCGAGCGGGCGGTTTAAATTCAAAAATCGAATCCACCGACCTATTGTTCGTGCTTGTCTGGCCAGGTTCGACATCACATGGCAGCCCCCTATATAACTGTACTTTAAAACACCCTCTCGCTTCCACCCCCCTTCGGTAGCGATCGACAATTCGCCAAACTAGTACGATTTCAAACCAGCATGATGGATCTCTCGGTGTGCACCTTTGTAGAGAACAACAAAAAAATCCTCTGACACACTTTCTCATGATCGCTACCAAATGTGGAATGATACAAGAGTGAAATATGCAAAATCGGCAAACGAAATATATATTAGAGAGATTATTGCGTTATTCTCGTTGCAATTTATTTCTGACAATAAGAGACTGTGTCACCTTCGTTAGCAAACTATTTGCGAATTTTCTAAATACATGTTTTTTTTTTTAAGTAACTCAAAAAAACTTTTAAAGAGTTTTATCACATATTTTTGATCATTCTAAGCTGATTTGTTTTTAATGATAAAAAAAATATGGGACAAGAAACTTACCGGAATTAACTGTATTTGTGTCGGCATCCACAGACTCGGTCTTTTGTTTCTTCGGAAGATCCTCTTTTTCGTCCTCTGTCCGTCTCTTTGGCGTCGAGCTGGCGCTCGCCTTAAGATCGATCGGACTTCCGGTATCCGGTCCCGGGCCCTGGGGTGTTGGCGGGCTCTCCAGTCGACTGCTTCTCTTGTTGATGGGCGCCGAGATGCTGGGAACCGAATTCAGCTTCGAGTCCGGGTCCGCGGCCTTCAGAGTGAGGGCATCTTCTGGGTCTGAGTCCTCTGGCGCAGCCGTCGCCGGTGGACTGTGGCAGCCCTGAAGAGTGCTCCGACAGTGGTTGACCTTGTGCTCGATGAACCGGACGATCTCGCCGAGGGGGTAGGACGCCCTGCACCCCCCACATTGGACGGTGTCTGGGGACGTGGCACTTTGCGAGGTTTCCGCTGTAACAGACAGCGCGTTTTGCTTTAGTATTGGAATTTAATTAAACACATAAATAATTGCACACACATAGAGCGTAAAATAGATATTACACACATTGAGATACTCTAAAATATTCGGACGTATATTTGTTTATTTAATTTTATTTTAAATTTAAGTGTTTTATAATTTTGATATCAGCATTTTGAATAATATTATTTATTTGAAATACGAGTAATTGCAAGATACTTTGCGGAAATTAAAAAGTGAAAACTATGTAGATAAAAATATTTATAAATATTTGTGTCACTCCCCTGTGAAGAAATAAAGATTCCGATATTTCTGCTGTCGTTCCTCGGAGAAAGCATTGCGTCTCGACAATTACAAAAGTTACGTTTACTCGATACGCTATCTCTCATGGTGTACGGTACTGTACGGTATTCAATTGTGTGTTATAACATAATGAACAACTTATTACTACAATTGCACCGCAAGGAAACCTTTCAATTACTGTTTCCTGACTTCGGCCACGAGTAGTGAAAGCAATATCAACTTATATTACTATCGATATTTACGTTCTTACTGATATCCATTATGTAACCAAGTGCAGACATGTGTGTCGCGCATTATTCGGAACGAGGCATTAATCATCGCGATTTACGATACCTATTAAGCGGCTGCCGCCATAACTCCATGAGATATCAAAACGAGCGAATCGTCTTGTCTCGACAGCCTAGTAGTAAAACTTCAACGTTCTTTAATTACTTACATTAGAAAATTAAAAAAATATATTTATTTTTTATTGAAAAATAATTAAACAATTTTTTAAAAACTGTGCTGTGATGGCACATCTACTTTGTTATTATTTTTTTTTTAACTTAGAAGATAACAAAAAATATTATTAATAATTACATCAATTTGTTTTACAAAATGTCATATTTGATTTTAAGTGGTAAGTGAATTTTCGCAGTTTCATTTTTGCTTCGCAATTTGACAATTTTTTCGACGAGGAGCAAGCGTAGACGATATCCGTCTAATGCGAGCAGACTTTCCTCGTAACAAACAGAACTAATTTCCTCTTGCGCAACCGTTATAATTCACCGTCCGAGGGGCAGAGGCCCCGAGGTCAGCCGCAGACGTAACAATTCACTTTTGAGTGTCCTTCAGGAGAAACTACACCGGGACTTCTCGCGACGACTACGCGTCCTTTCTCCCGTGTGTTTCGCGCATTAACATAGAGATTGGCAGGAGAGTTTCATACATCGATCTTTCCCTCGCCAAGTTGAGTATCCATATCTATCCGAATGGGGCTGCCAGACTCGTGCGGCGCGAAACAAGAAAAATCTACCACCGTCTTGGCAGTCGTTTTCCACCCTCCCTCCGTTCCCCTCCCAATTCGTTCCCGTCTCGCCCTTCGAGTTTCTCCCTTTGTCCCCCCCGTCCTTCTTCGGCATCTTCGTCTCGCTTTCATGGCGCGTCTTCCGACAGATCTCGGCTTTCCTCTTTCGTTTCGTCCTTCTTTTTGTAGTCTTTACACCAGCCCCTATATTTGTTTACTTCTAGCTCTGTGTGTATGTGTGTGTGTTGCCGTCTTCTTCTCCGTTCGCTTTCCGTCGGCGTGCCAACACCGTTCGATTCTTTCTGGGCGGAGCTCGCTTGACCATTGGCCAGAGCGCAAACTCGCTCGCTTCAACCCTTTGTGGTCTGAGTTACACCCCGATTGGTGGGCCGAACTTAGATTTATACACAGTCAAGTTTTTTTTTTTATACGTCAGATATACCATTTTTAACTCTGTTTTTGTGTTTGGTTTAAAAACACTTCGGTAATTTACGGAAATGAGAAAAAATTTGTCAACGAATTTCGAAAAATGTCGAAAAATATTTTCATAGATTCCGAGCATAACAATTCCGATAAGAATCTTTATTTCTTTGACCCTTTGCCATTCAGAATCGGTTTGGTCGAGGTATGATGCTTTTTTGTGCTGTTCCTGCGTGCAACTTCTCGTTTTTCACCGGAAGAATGACGGTAGCAGGAAGCAAGATAAGTTCGTCGAGAGTCTCGCAGTGTCGAGACTCGTGTTTCGGACAAGACAATCGCGCCTAGACGACGTCCCGCATTCTTCGCAGGAACGCGAGATTTTAATCGCGCTTGTCCGAGATCGTCGCTGACGATCGATCGCGCGTGAAGACGGAAAAAGGGAACGAAATAACGACGGTAAAAATGCGATAAAGTTTTCGATAAACATCCCAAAGGCGAGTAAAAAGGGACATGCCTGGACCGTGTCTGGTTTGTGCGGTTCTGTTGCGGTGGAAAAAAAAAAATCCATCGTCGTGCTGGATACGAGCCGAAGAGGGAGGAAGGGGAGAGGGGGAGAGGAGATTGAGCGAGAGCGAAAGGAAGGAGAGTAGCCTGAATGGACCTACCTCTCTCAGATCCGTTATTCGCCTACGATTCAAAAGCGCTCGGTTAGAAACAAGAGACGCGCGACCGGTCGTTAGCGACAATGGACTTTTGTTTTTTCGGGGGCAGATGTTGGACCAAAACTGTCGGCAGTACGTAGGCCCCTCCGCAGCAACCCTTGTGCGAGGACCCGTGCCTCGGCGGCCTCGTGAGCTTAAGGTGAGCGAAGGAGGAGGACGGAGGAGACACGTGTCTCTTCGTCACTTCACAAATCACCCGCCTATTTATCCGTGTACCGTCTTCGAGTGCCGTTCGGTGCCGCTTTTTGCACGGGTGCGATCTTTGATTTGATTATCGCGTTCGGAATCTCTAAAACTATTGCCACATCTTTTGAAAGGTTACTTCTTTCTGTAGTGCGGTAACGCGTAAAATAAATTTTAGTAATGTTTCTATAGCGCAAAAATAAAAAAAAAAAAAACATTATAAATAAAATATGTTCCAAAAACCAAACGTACATTAAGGATACTTCTTTCGTCTCTGATCGTCGTGATTGAGACACCGTTGTATACGCCGGACTGTATATAATATATAAAAACACAGACAGAGTTGCATTCAAGGAGGATTACGCGTATAGATACGGGAAAAGGAAAGGGAGAAAGTGGATATAACCAGAGAAAGATAACGTAAAAATATAATACTTCCCAACGAATCTAAGTTTGGATTGCTTACAAATTGACCTATTCATCCGTAATGTTGCGATCACCAGACCCAATAGCCCCTACTGCCTTGTAATTTCCATCTGTAAGTGGGCAGTACGCGTAAGGGAATCTCTGCGGGAAATGTTTCGAGTTTATTAGTTTTCCACATTAATTTTCCGTCTTTCATAAAATGAACTAGACGATGGTCGGAAAAATTGATTCCCGGCGATAAGTCGCGGGTTCTTTTTCTTTAATTTCTTATTCCCATTTTCTTATCTTTATACACATAACGTTAAAAAAAAATAAGAAACATAGAAAAAACTTAGTTATTTTATATTGTGAATTAAACATTAAGTTTTAGACAATCTTATTCTTTTTAAAAATTAGTTGTGTATAAATTGTTAAGAACATTTTTTGACATTAGCGAGAATATATCGTTAATTCTCGATATCGCATTTAATAACGCGATCTATTCCATAATTTGTTGTACCAACGACGACTATTTTACTACAGCGTGCCGTTTGTTAAATTTTTCCGTTCGACGCACAGACACAAATCCATAAGACAAGCGCCACACACATCGGCTGTGTACAAAGAAACAGGCGAAGAATATCCCGAGGCCGTATTCTTGTTAGGACATCCGTCCTGTCAAAACGTCCACAGGACACATCGGAGCAATTGAATTACGATCATCCCCAGGGCGAGCTACAACCGTAACCAATAATTCCATTATCCATTAGTATTGGGTCGCGGCAATTTCCTTCGCCGACCGAGAGAGGAGGAGACAACTTCGGACGGTGCTACGCCGCGACGTACGTATACGTACGTGGCAGACGATCTCCCAACGAAATACAGAAACCGATCGGGGAAAACGGATAGATTTCCCGGCGCACGTCCGTATCGACGCGCGCGAGATGGACAGATCCGTGATGCGATCTCTCGCAAACACCGTCTTATCCATAATAAAACGTCGCTGCGCGTCACGTATATCGCTCGGCGTATCTCGCGCCTTTCAAGTAACCTAAACCATTTTTAGATATAAAACTCTATTTTTTTAACATTACGTTCGTTACTCGCGAGCTGTGCGATTGTCTGTGTCTTGCGATTCAATTATAACAGATCAGAAATCTGTGTCAAATAAGCTGGTATGAAAATAAAATCTACATGAACAGATCTGCGCGTGTGACAGATTCGCGATAAAAGATTTATGCAAAAATCACTTCTCAAAATTGTACCGTCTCGAATAGTCTCCCAGTACCTCGGAATATAGATTCAATGCAAGTTCTTGTGTGACACACACTCTCTCCCTCTCCCTCTCCCTCTCTCTCTCTCTCTCTCTCTCTCTCTCTCTCTTTCTGTCGCGAGTTATCTTATTATCAGCGCTGTATTTACGTCTTTGCGCAAATCGCTGATAAGAGATAACACGATATATTTGCATCAACGCTGCCGACTCTTTTAAAGAGAGGCTGTAATTACCTTTGTGCGCCATATTGCTTGTCCCAGTATTATTTGAATACCCGAGAACACTCCTGTATAGGAATTTTTAATTCACTGCCGAAATCGATCGATGAGTAGTCCGATTCTGAATCATGCTATAAACGCGACGCGAAATCGCCGCTCTCGCGAACGACGCTTTCGTTTAATTATCGGAGGACGCGGGTCGATTCTCATCGCCGTGCTCGAGATCTGATTTCGTCCATGCTCGGATGCTGACTGGAGCATCGGGGCGCGTATAGGGCCAGCCAGGGCCCCAACAGGATATCAGAAGAATAGAAAGGACCTACCGGCACGCGCATTGGAGGGGGCAATTTTTATACGAGATCCCCACTTTATATATCGTCATCCTATCGTTCTCTCTCGCTCTTTTTTCTTCTCTCATCTTCTCTGTTTTCTCTTTCTGTCTCTCTCTCTCTCTTTCTCTTTT